AAAATGACAAAAGCTTTAAAAAAAACTTGATCTATAATGAATGATTGGGGGTGGTGGGGGGAGGCATGCATAGTCTTGAGAAAGGAAGACTGTTTGGCACCAATTAAAGTCTTGAAATACATTAAGAACTATTTTAATGAAGACTGTGATTAGTTGATCTCCATGTCCTTAGAAGGTAGAACAAGAAGTAATGGGCTTAATCTACATCAAGGAAGAGTCTGTTTAGGTATTAGGGAAAACTTTCTAATTGTAAGAGTAGTTAGGGACTGGAATAGGTTATTAAGGGAAGTTGTGGTATTCACAACATTAGAGGTTTTAATAAACAGGTTAAATAAACATCTGTCAGCAAAGGTCTAACTAGGTCCTGAAGGCATGACCTACATTTTCATGATTCTATGCAATATCAGGCACCTCATCCACTGTTGTTGGATGTTGGTGTTCTCATTAGTAACCATCTGTGACGGGAACAACATTAGACTGCGATTTTGTGAGTTGAGCTTCTGAGAGAAGGCCCTAGACAGAGCCAATGGGATACATAATAAAAGTCAGCCACCTGGCCTGTTCTTGGAAATTGTTCTTTTTGTCTTGCTCCAGAATATATTTTAAACTTATTTTTAAAACACTCCAAAGGAGTGTTGTCTAAAGCTTAGTGCACAGGACTGGAGTTTTATTAGTTTCATTCTGATTGCTAACGTTGAGAGGCAGTACCTAAAGGTAGTAGGGGAGTTGTTGTCGCAATTCTTAAAATAAAATGTCTCTTCCATCTTTTAAATGACAGTACAAGGCAGAATGTAATTTTTCCATGGCGCTCTTTGAGTAAGAATAATGGGCAGTTCCAGCCGCCTGCCCATTCTTTGCCTAATGAAACAGGCTCTCCTGTTCAGAGTTGCAGATGAGCTGATGTGGATTGCATGAATGATGTGTTTGTGTAACCCACACGCCTACTGGGTGTGGTGTACTGTCCCATTTAGTGTCAGGGAGACCACTTACAAAGAGAATAATGTGTCTGCTCTAGAGGTTCATGCACTAAGTTCCAGAGATCCCAGGTGTGATTCCACCAGTCATTGTTACATTTGCTTTACATAATCGCTGTATTAATTGCAGTTAACTCGGTTTGGGATGTGTGTTCTGTGAAATGAAATATTCTTCCAGAGTTCCAGCTGGAATGTCCTGAATTTCATGTCAGCAGCACCATATAGATAGGCATGTCCTGGAATATACATGTCTATGGAGGGCATTGCACTTTTCCATCCCTAAAAATGCTGTCTGTAGAGGAAGATTATAGCCTCACTACAGGCTATTCGCCCTCTCAGCCACACAGTAAAGAAGAGAAAAACATTCAGTTGGTCTGTAGGTTAGGAAATGCGGTCGCAGTAGGTAGTAATAATAGCCCAGAACAAGGAATGAATTAAAGTCATATGCACAATAGGACTCACCCATTTGCACTATATGAGACTAGAGCAGTTAAATTCACACATACTCCACTGTCAATCTGTTTTTCCCCAGTATTTATTATTTGAATGTACTTGTTTTTTTGTGTGTGTACAGTATTTCAGAAATTGTGAGGAGCTAGACACTGTAATTACAAGTCTTCTCAGTGGGATGCAGATTCCCTATATCTTAGCACAGCAGATATATCAGCAATATATTGGGATCTGTTTATAAAAGGTATCAAAGAGCAGAATGGACTTAGCCAGTTATTAGAGTCCACCATCCTGTGGTTGGATTTGTTGTGTATGCACGTTACATACAGGCACCCACCTTTCAAACTGGAATCTTTGTGGTCCATTCACAGCAGCTTTTTCAAGTGAGCCCGTGGGAGCTACGCTGAGCAGGTGTCAGCTGAAAGACACTCTTTGCAGAGCCCGGTAGATATGAGCTGGTTCAGGTGTCCAGTGAATGTTTCAGAAAAGCTATGTTATTAAATGATCAGCATATCAATCATGTCATCAATCAGGAGTTTAAGACAACCTTTGAATCATTCTAACTGAAAAAACAGATTTGTTTCTGGAAGCTACATATTTCCCATGCTCAACCTCCTTAACATTTCCTTTCCTCATTAACAATTAAAGTTGAGAAATAGTTATCAATTCCATAAAGTCAGTGCCCATAGAGCAGTGTTTCTTAAACTTTTTAAGACCGAGGAACACCAAACAATAATTTTTTTAATGGGGAACACCAAGGATTTTTTTGTTGAGGATGGCCATTCCCCAGGGAAAAGTTGTTGACCAAAAAAAAAAAAGCCCCCCCCCAAAGAAAAGTTGGGAGCAAAACAAAACAAAAAAAGAGGCTTGTCCCTTTAAGGGTGGCCATTTTGAATTCTGTTCTCTCTACCGCACCCCTCCAATTGCCTCACACTTTAAGAAATGCTGCCATCGAGGAACAGTAGCAATATCACTGTTTGCTGGTTTCAAGGTGTGAAACCCAGGGAGAATGCTTAGGAATAATTACATGAATATATCTACATTAGAGCTTTGGGTATATTTCTGCATTGTCTTGCATTGGAGGGATGTAGTCAAGATGTCGGTTCATTATTTATTTCATCTCAAGATATGATAAATCATTGTTTTGTTCTCTGATGTAAAGTCCCTACTCCTTCTAACAAAGATCAAATAGAGGCTGTTGTCTTGGCTTAGATGAAGACAATTTGCCCTAGTTAACAGTACTGGGGCAACAGCTTTAATGTGAACTGACCTGGTTTGGTATGTCTGTCTCTAATCTTCAAACACCTAGTGCCATCTGGCTGTATGACTTTGCGGCTATCAGGACTGAACAAATTTTTATCCCATAAGGATCGTTTCCTTTTGACAGCAAGCCCCCAGAATCTGATATAGGTTTCTCCATCCTGATCTTAGACCTCAGCACTCACTATGGACACTTGCTGAGGCAGTGATTCTTGACATGTGGGATTGGACCATGCAGAATTTGCCAGGTCCTTGGCAATATAAACTAGTGTGGGTTTTTTTCCCCATTAAGTGGCCTCCACACCCCTGCACCAATAATGTATTATAGCACATATTTTGTTCTCAGGTCTCCTTGTAGCCATCTCCAAGGCTAGAGTATTCTTTGTAACTATGCTAAAAAAGTCATGAAATTTATTCTTTCCTCCACCCACTCCTCAGAGAGCTAGACCATAATCTCTACCATGTTCCCAGCATGTCCTCAGAGGCTGGGAATGTCATCTCTAGGACTGGCCCAGTCTCTCCACAGACAATGGTCCTCTATGACAGTCTCAGGCACACTTACTCTCTAAAGACCAGGAATGTCATATCTCCAAATATTTCTAACCTAAGAGAGAATCATTTTTGTATTGCTTTTGGTCCCAGGAGGGGGAAACCTTATATATATTTTAGCATAGTTAGATTTCTAGCCCTGTTATGAAATGCTGCTTGTTGGGAATGGAGTTTGTGATGTAAGAGGAAATTAACTTGAGCCAGTCATCATCTGGTTTAATTTAGTACAATTGAGTCCTACAATCTTACTGAAATGCTGTGGGAGTTAAGTAAGTCACATGCACACAAGAAAAACATGAAACTTTTGATGACCAAACCCGTTATGTCCACATTCTTTTTTCCCCTTGTGTTGGCTGTGACTTCTCCATGTTCAATGCTGAAAAAATAGAGCAAATATTCTATTGTTGCTGAAGAGGGGAAGTTAAATCTCCTGGCTGTATTAGTCTTGGGAAATAAAATTATCCTCCCACTTTTCTTTTGTTTAATACTTGTTTGAGATTCTCTTTTTTAAGAATGCAGCAGGACAGACAGACTTTGACTTTGCTGTAAACAGGCTTTTTTCAGTAAAATCTTCTGCTATTCGTGAGATATAGAACATTGTGCCAGTGAAGACGGTGGTATCTGAAAGTGAATAACAAAAATTGACAAATAAATGACTTTCCATGCCAGAGTACATCAAAGGGTAAAGATGATACTGTGTTTAAGTAAAACGATTGCCAGCAATATCTACTGTACAGAGAGTGCAGGAAAAAAATTTAATAAGATAATAGACACACACACACACACACCCTACAACTCCAGGGTTGAGCAAAATTATAGCGATACTGGAGCTTTGCTAGGTTTGCCACTACTGTGGACATATGAAACTCAGCCAACTCACTGATTCTCCCTTTTTCCTAAAGGTTCATGAACACCTAGATAGTGCAGGGAAAGGGGAAGGAGAGGAATTTAATATTATATGTATATACATAATTTAGCAAGATAAAGGAGATTTCCACATGCAAAGACTAATAGGAATGCCCAGTATTCCTGTTTTGCCACTTGTGAATAAGACTCTCTTTTTTACTGATATTCTGTCTTGACTCAATCAGGTGTATTTAGGTTTGATTTTGTTGCATTTGGCACAAGGGTTGTTAAGAGTTAAGAGAGGAAGTAGAAAACTGAGTTTTTCAAGATAGTTTGAATTATTAATTAAAACTGAACAAGTGAGTTAGAGATGGGGGGCGGGGGAACAGCACTGTCTGATTGCAGAGAAACTCCACCCACCAAAGCTCTGAAGTGGAGTATCCGATTGTAAGTATGATGCTCTCAGAGAAAACTCTTAATCATTCTTCAAAACTTGATAATCAGACAAAAAGGGACAGATTCTTTCATGCTTATTTTCATTTATGTAGCACAACTCTCCTTCAGTAGACTTTTGGATTTCAGTAGCATTAGATGGCAGAATCTGGTCATAATATGGTAGTTTCTGAGAACTTTGGGCTTTACAAATTCAGCTCCTTTCTAGGCTGCAGATGAATACATGTAAGCTCTTTGGGGCAGGGTCCTTATATTGGAAGAGGATGTACAGTGTCTAGCATAACAGGATTGTCCAGGATGCGGACTCCAGGATACTGCCACAATACAAAGGAAAAACCGGGACTTTAATCCCTCTTTCTAATTGTATCTCTCCTTCTCCCTTTCATTGGACTGTTTTGAATGGCGTTTCTGATTTCTGAATGGTATTTGGTAACAATTCTCAATCTTTCCTTTCCTCCTGCCCCACAGGAGCACATTTACAAGCTGATGAAGAGTGACAGCTACGCACGTTTCCTCCGTTCTAACGCATACCAAGACTTATTGCTGGCAAAGAAGAAGGTATCTTTTGGGAAGGACATGCTTGCATCTCTTAGCGCCTATTGATTCTCGCCTGCTGCTTGCTGCTAGTGTGAAAACGGGAATATTGTTTCATTTTTATTTTTTACTTTTTATTTTTTAGAAAAGGAATGAGAACATTTGTTTCCTTCAAGGCCCAGGGTATGGCATCCCTATATGCAGTTTTGGAAACCATTGTAAGGGAAAGGTAGAATAGCAAGCCAGTCAAATACAGAATATGAAAAAATGCTCAGATTGTATGAGTATCTTCCCAACTTGACGCAAGGAATTAAAAGTCCATTGTCTCATCTTCATGTCAAAGTTGATCTCCTGTATCACGATTAGCTACCAGAAATGTGTTAATTTGCTAGTCAGGATAACAGACTAGGTACAGCATCCAAGATGAAACCATGTGGTCCTCCGTTGGGATGCCGTATCTGGGGACCTCCCCATAATGTCTTACCCCCTGCTCCTTTCCCCCTTTTCCCTGCTCTTTGCTCCCTGGAAATGTTTGCTTTTTATTTTAAACAAGAAATAATTGCAACACAGAGAGAAGCCAAGAACTTCAGCCATTTTCTTCACCAAAGTCCTGGGCCTCGGTTCCCTTTACCCCTGTGTGTTAGCATGGCCACAGCTAGCAACATATTTTCTTCCAGGAATCCCCAACTCAGAGTAGCAAATGATTGATTCTGTAGGATTAAGTGAGTTCTTATCCTGCTAGTTCTATTTGGGTAAAGGGGGGCAGGGTGTGGAAGGTAAGATACTTATCTCTGCATTTGTGGCTTGTTTAAATGCTTTCTCTACCTGCCAGCTTACTCCAGTACTTTGCCAGAGAGAATATGTTTTTGTACGTGTACCTCTCTTTCTGTGACCCAGTTACAATTTAGGTCTCAGACTTACAAAACCCAAGATACAATTAACTTGCAACTCCTGCAGTCTGAGCTTGTGGTTTTCCATCACCATGCGCTCTGCTGCTTCTTCACTTCATTCTCCATGGGCTGTCAAATTATAATGCATTGGCGCATCTCAATGAAATCCCATTGGCTTTTACATACTCATTGGTATTATGGGTCCTTAAAGTGCATATGAACTAAACTTTACTTTCTGTTGTGCCTGGCGTTGCAGTGGTGTAACTGAAGACATGAGCTGCCCCTGTGTTTTAAAACCAGCTGGTTTTAGACAAGTGAAGACCAGACAAAGAAAAGCAAAGTCCTAGATGCCATTTGAAATTTTAAGGTGCTCTTTAAACCTGGACAGAATTCAGAGGCAGAGGGAAAGAAGGGGATGCAGTTAAAACTCTTGGACACCCTACGATGAGGGAAAAGAAAAAATTAAAAAATCTTTGCTGTCTTATCCCTATGAGCATCCCTGTATGTTCTCCCTCTCAAACTCTTTCTTTCAAAACATTGGGCCCGAATGGTTCATGTGTTAATACAAAGAAAAGTTCTCCTCCTAACTGAACCAGTGTTGAATCAAAGATTTCTTTGGAATCATTGCTTGCTGTCAGACCAAGTGCTAGATCTCTCAGCATGACTTGCATGATTCTCATGCCACCTGAGGAACAGATTTCAGTGGCATGCTCACTCTACAGTGGAAATAAGAATCTAGTTCCTTTCCGAAAGAGATGTTGGGAACTCAAGTAAACATAGCCAAGGAAAAAGAAGACAGTGACAAAAATCATGAAGCTGAATCATTCACCAATATAATGTACATGGGGGAGGGGGAATTAAAGTTACATCCGCAGACATAAAGCATATCTCACTATGTTAGGCTAGTAGACATTGTGTAATGCTGACAGATGGAATTGAACCTGAGACCTCTGGAGCTTAGTACATGAGGCTCTACCGCAACAGCTAAAAACCAGCTGGCTATTAACTAAGGCTGTAGAGCAGACTCATTGTTCTCTCTGTAAGCAGTCTCAGTGCCACTAGATGGGACAGTGAACCACACCCAGTAGGTGTCTGGGTTACAAAAGTACCAGTGAAAGCACAGAGACTGATAGGGAATAAAGCTTCCTTATGCTGACCTACCTGGTAGTTTTACAGCACATTTGAGAGAGTCCTTCAGGGCTTCTGGATACAGCCTGGAATGTGGATTTGGGGGTAAGTGAAAAACATGGGGTACCCTAGCCCTTTCAGTATTGAGGATTTGGGTTTAAATCTCATGAATAAAAATTTGGCCTTGGTGATGTCAGTGGGAGTTTTGCCATTGACTTCAGTAGGGCTTGGATTACACCCCAAAATTTTGAGCCCTTGTTAGGTATACCTCCCAAATATCCCTCATTTCAAGGGTTCACACTCATTTTAGTCCAAAAACTGGCCCACATTCCATACCTGTGATGTGCCCTCACTTTCTTGTTGACTATTAATTATGGCAGAGATGCAGAATCATGGAACTGAGATTACAGAAAGTTATTTACACTAAAGAAATGAATCTCCCTGCATTTTAAGTTTTTTGTATGAATGTATTTTTGGCCACCACCACCCCTCGTTTTGGGTCATTGTTATACATTTCAGCCCATATATGGGCTTTGTGGCAAAAGTAGAGGATTTGGAGTTGTGAGATCTGTGTTCTTTGCCTAGCTTTTCCACTAATTTTCTTGTGTGACTTTGGGTGAGTCATTTAATCTCGGTATGCCTTATACTGCCCACTGTGTAAAATGCAGATAATAGTACTGACCTGTGTAGACAACATGTTGAGTCTTAATTAATATCAGTAAAAATGTCTGGCATATTTTGATATCCTCAGGTGCAAATCTATATAGTATGCACTATGTAAATGCAAAGCAAAGTACAATCATTTTCTACATCACAAAACAATTGCCCATGTGAGAGTTTCTGATCCAGGGTCTGGAACTGAAATAAGCTAAAGGGACTTGTGGGCCAGAGTTCAAATATACTAGCAGAGTTATGAGGAGGAGAGGGGGAAATGAACAGCATGTACACAGACTCATGGAGGCACAGCTGATGGACATGGGCCATGTATAGGCTAGGAGTTCCTTCTCCATTCATGATGGAATTTTTCTTCTTTCCTGTCACTGTCATTTTTATATGTACCATTGTATGATGGCATGGAGCATTTAAATCCATGGTATGCTGTTGGGAATGCACAACTGGGCTTCAGCAGGGGTGTAATTGGAGGGTACGTGTAAGAAAAAAGGTATAGGTCTCTGCACTGCACAGAAGTAAGTCTCCCTACATGCCTGTTGCCTTACTGTGAAAAAGGGTGAAAAAGGGTGAAAAAGAGGAAGGAGGTAGGCAATGCCTCCATGTTTCTGAGAAGAAAAGGACTTTAGCTTGGTAAGCCTGCAGATGAGCCATTTAGCCGTTTTGTCTGTCAGTCTCACTCCTGCTTCTAGTAGGAATAATTAGGTTATTGTCAGCACCCATCTCTCAGACACAGGGCTGGGTTCTGTTGCACTCCCTTACCTACCCATTGAGTTTTACTTCTTGTGCATACACACAACATGATACACCGGTGCTGTACGAGACCAAGCATCAGTCTGCCCATATTTCTGCTGATACATATCTTACCACATTTTATAGTAGCAAAAAGCCCCCTGTCTTCCCCTTGAGAGCCAGGGCCATGCCCATCGATAACAGTGAACTTTATGTAAGAAAGAAATTACTGTTACATTTAGGCCTTGAAAAACCTACTCACCCACTTCTGCAGTCCCTTCAAAGGAACTTGAGCACCTTTCCATCCTTTTCTCAGTCTCTTCAGAGGAAGGAGCTGCAACTGACTTCACTCTTCTTGCTAGAGTTTTACTTGAGTGCCACAAGAATGCCAACGGATTTTCCTCCTAACTGTGTTCATAATCATTTGTAATTGATTTTCTAATGTCTCTGCTACCCTATGCTAACAAACTCTTTCCTCAAAAGAACAACAAATCTGAACAGTATGAGAAATAATTAACCAGTGAGGGCAGGGGGAATGTAGCAATGCAGTGAAGAATATTCAGGATTTTTTCTTCACCTAATTTTTTCTGCTCAGTTGTCTATAATAAAATCTTTTTTTAGAATGTTAAGTATCTGTATCTTACTGTTAGCTTGTACGGTAGGTTGATCTGTTTACCATTGATGAAGGTAAGTTTTCCTTTTGCATGTTTAAGGGCTGCTTGAACTACCTTGTGTGTGTGTGTCTGTACAAGCATTGTTGTCATACTTCAAAGTATTTTTGATGCACTTCCTGTGCTTTACCTGACATGTGTTCAATCAATGTGCAGAGACCCTTACTCTGTATTTCTAAATTCTTACACTTTATTTTTAAATTTCCTTCCTCCACTTTGCAACAGAGCCTCAAGCAGCTTTGCTTTGAGCTGGACCGAGACAGGCAAGCGGTTACCTCAATAACACGTAGCCAGTCACACATTTTGTAGACAAGCAGGCAGGAAATGCTGGAGAGCAATACAGCCAGCACAAGCATGCACTCCTACTGAAACTGTGCACATCAGCTGCTTGGCATGCAGCCAAGTGTCATTGCTTTTTATTTTAATTAAAAAAATGCAGTGCTTTGCTCAACAACTAGAGACTAGGGTGACTGGTGTTCTGTAGCTACCTTAGACAGTTACTGTACATTTAAACTCTGGGCTGTTGCATCTCCTGCAGGGTATTGTTCATGTTGGGAGTGTTTGCAAGGCAGATTTCATTTGAGACCTTAGTATGGCTAACTTTTCAGATAGTAGTGCCCAGTGAACCCTTTCAGTATTAGAAGAGAACAAACTGTATATAATCTGTAGCTTGTCAGCTGATACAAAATGTTAGTGCCCCAAACCAAATCTGTGTGGTTCATTTACACCACCCACTCCAGTTTCCCTAAGAAAGGGAAATGACATTAGCCTGGAATAATGTTCCAGAGATTCCCCCAATTCTGCAGTTGCAGAATTTGCCAGAGAATTGAACCTTTGCTACCCAAAGGAGCTCCAGAGTCTCGCCTTTCTAAAACACCTGTTTCCAGATCTTCTAGTTGTGGATGGCAGCAGCAAAGCACTGGGCTGCTGGCTA